TCCCTGGTTCTGGCGCGTGGATGTCGACCAAACGTGCTGGGCGGCGGGGGGCCAGGCCGCGACGGAGACGGGCTCTCTGCGCCCGCGCCCCCCCGGCTGGCTCCCAAGACAAATCCCGCCCAGCCCAAGACCGAACTCCACCGCGCTTTGAGCCGAGGCGCCGCAGTTCTCACAACAAATCAGGTCGGCCCCTGGGCCACCTCCAGGGCCCAGGGGCGCCGACGAGGCCTGCGCGATGGAGTGGCCCTTGAAAGTCCACGGGGCGCCTGCAAACTCGACGAGGGCTTCGCCCCCCCCCCCCCCCCCCCAGCAGCCCCCTCAGGAGCAGCAGCGGGGGGAGGAGGCTGAGGATGGGGAGGCGGAGAGTGGGGGGGGGCCTCCCTCCAGGATGCACCCCGGGCACACCCTGAAACGCCAGTGTGCCTTCCTCCCACGCCGCCTCTTCCAGATGCCTCAGCCCTCCGAACTAAACTCTAGCGTCACATCCGAAGTCCCAACAACTCCCTCAGAGTCAACGAAACCCCCATCGACGCACAACTGCTGGGCCCTCGCATGCCATCTGGATATGTCATAGGCCACGGCCTCGACCCCCTGTCCAAAGGCGAGCTGCTGTGGGGGGGCCGACCATTTCAGCGAACCACTTTTTGCCCTGTGGTCCGCGATCTGATTGCCGAGAATGAGCCAGTCGCCCTCGAAACAAACGGCGGAATCACGAGACCGATGGCTCTTGACATTCACGATCGTGGACTGTCGGCCGATCCCCTCCCACCAGTGAACCCAAAAATGCCTTCTAACATTCATGGGGTCGAGCGCCGCGCCTGGATTCACCGCGCAATCAGAGGGCCCTCAGGGTTGCACTCCGAGTACTCTGCTTATCTTTGATTGACCAACCCACAGGCAGAGGCACCGGCGCGCCGCAGCCGCGGGACGCTTGCACCTCAGATAGCCTCATACTCCGCTCACTTTGCCCAGGTCGGCAGCCGGCGCCGTCATCCCGAGCATCGCCTCGATGCTGTCCAGCAGGGCCACAGCCGTCTCCATCGCGTCTTCGCGGGAGCACACCGCCAGACTCTGCCCCGTAATGTGGACGCGCTGCCTCAACATCACGGACGCACTCTCGCCGGCGCGGACGTCCAATCACGCCGAAGACGGCAAAGTCGCCGTCCAGTGCTCGGTTCACAAGTCGTTCGCCTGTCGGCCCCGCGCCACTCAGCAAACTGGCCAGCGTCGGGGGAATCGGCGCCGCGAAGGAGGCGGCGCGATAGGCTGGTCCGTACTTGCCCTTGTTCTCGCGCAGCAGGTAGTTGAAGCCGGCCCGGGAGAACGGGTGCTGTGCCCAGGCCCGTCTTGTCACCTCAGCAGCCAACCGGTGGCCAGGAAAACCGGCCCCGCGTGCTGCCTCGGCGTGGTAGTCGTCCTGAACCTCGTCCAACGCCCGCTGGAACGCCAAGACGCCTGCCTCAGACGGGTCGACGGTGTACCGCGTGACCAGCACTTTGGGCGACAGGACGAGCCCCGGGTTCGCAAGCACGATCATGGAGCACCTGGCGTTCTCGATTGTGTCACTGTGCCTGACCCACTCCGTAGCCAACGTCTCGCGCGAATCACGCCAGTCCGAGCGGTCGGCGCGCCTGCCCCCGAGCAAGTGCTGAGCGCGCAGGGTGCACAGGTCCATGCGGCAGGTGATGATCACCACGTCGTCCGGCAGCTCCTCCAATGCACCGAAAGCGTAAGTGGCGATCCGCCTACCGCGCAGTCCGTCCAGGTGCTCGGCCAGCCTCGAGGCGTTGAAGTACTGGTGCGTCGCCAACTCATCCGCGTCCTCGAAGCCGTAGGCGGCGGCCGACGTGAACTTCCCGGTGTGCGGCGGCAGGGCCAGAACTGTCAGTATGCCCTGCACTCTACGCCACTGGCCGTTCCACCACGTGGCCTCCGTCCTATGCTCGTTGCCCTTCCACTCCGTGGCGTCGCACTGCACCTTGGGCAACGTCGCGGCGTGCTTGGCCACAATCTCGTTGCCGCGACGCAGCAACATCCCGGTCTCGCCCGGCGTGAACTTCGAATCTACGAGCTGCAGCTGCACGTCCTCGGACACTTCGTTGTGCGCGACCGCTCGGGCATCCACCTTGCCGCCCGGCTCGTAGTGCGCACGTCTGGAGGGACTGTCCGCGACCATCTTGGCTGCCGTGCGGTCGGTGAACTCCAAGTTGGAATAGTTCGTGGCCTGACCCACGCCCAGCGTGCGAACCAGCTGCATCGGCACCTTCCAGTGCGTGCTCTGGGAGAACAGGCCCGAAACACCGCCGTGCGCTCTGTCGTTGCGCATGACCGCATCCGCTATGCGCAGCGTCTTGCCCTCGTGATCTAGCGGGCGCGAGTGGTGCCGCACAGCCTACCCCAGGAGTACTCGCGCCGCCAGCGGCCAGTAGCAGCTCCGAATGAGGTCGCCGGTCGTGGTCGCCAGCCCGCCAAGGACGCCGTCGAGCGGCAGCTCCCAGTCGCGGTTCGCGTCCCGCAAGATGAGAGTCCCCAAAGCGCGTTCCTCGTAACCGTGAACTCCAGTCTCGTCGTACAGGATGCGCAGGTACTCCGCGCTCTCGGCCGAAAACGACTGCGCCTTCTCCTTCAGCACATGCCCCGACGGGTAGACGCTCAAGACGTTGGTGATCAAGGCCAGCAGTCGCCGCAAGCGCAAAGCCGCGTCGTCACCGGACTTGCGGTACTCTGCAGGCCCCTCGCTAACACAGCCGAGCTCCGCAGCCTGTGCCAGGCCCGTGTCCGTGTACGCCGCCTGGAACATCAGGTTGCGCAGCGACGTCCCGCGTATCCTGGAGCACATACCTTGGACGACGTGGTGCTTGTTGCCGTCGGACGCCGTCCACTCGACGTGCTGCTGCGCGTCGCGAATCCACTTGCCGCTGAGCAACCAGTCGGCACGCACCTCGTCGGAGACACCACTGTTGGCCACCTCGCGCCGTGTCCACGGCCGCCAAAGCGTCCTGGGTGTGCGTGCTGTTGAAGTCCGGCCGGCCAGTCGCGCGCCTCCCAGAGCCCGAGCGTCTGGGATGTGGAACTGGTGTTGCTGATGTGGAGCTGTTTGCGCAAGATGCCCGCTGCGTCGGTCGGCGCGGCCTCGCGAGCGGATGCCAGTGCGCTCTCTATTCCGCCTATCCAATGGGCCTCGATGACGTAAGAGTCGATGGAGGACGCCAGCAACAGTCGAGCGCGCATCAGCTCGCGCTTCTGGCTGTCGGAAACCACGATCTTGGGGTCGCCCTCCCTGATGCGATCCATCCAGCCCCGGGCCCGGTTGAGCAGCGCCAGGCACTTAGACGACGAGACCTTCCGCCTCTTGCCGTCGCGCTCGTGAACGAGGCACCGCTCGCCAAACGCTGCTCCGTCGGCCGTCCACAGCGGCGCCAGCTCCTCGAACTCCGCTAGCGTCAGCCTCTGCAGCTTGGCCACGTGCTCGCCGACCGCGAGGGGCCGCTCCTCCATCGCCGTCTTCAGCCGCTTGACGTGCGTCTCCACGTCGCCCAGCTCTCCAAGCAGCTCCGCGTCGAGCGCGTCCTCGTCCATGTTCGTGTCCGCCCTGTCCTCGGCCTGGAGGACCCGGGCGGCGTCCGCGCGGCTGAGCCACTTAAGCGGGTTGCGCGTAGTCCTGGTGTGCAGCTGGGTCCCGGGCTCGTCGACAGACCCCGGCGGCTGCGCGAACGCGGCGCGCCCCACTGCCCTGACCGGGTAACCGGCCAGAGCGCGGCCTGCGGCGCTGAGGCGCATGACCGCCTCCTCGCCGGGCGCGAGCGGCACCGGTGGGCGCGGCAGGGGCGCGTGCCCGCTGCGGCCCGCGCCATTCGCCCAGGCGTTGCGCGCCTCCACGCGCTCGCGCCCCCGGCCGCGCAGCACCCAGACGTCGCGCGTGCGCATGATCACCAGCTCGCCGATCGCCGTGCCCATAGCTGTAGCGACCGCGTTGGTGACCTCTGCTGCGGTCAAGTTTGTGCCGAGCGCCTCCAGCACCTTCTTCGGAACTCGCAGCGCCGTCGACTTCGCGCACTCGTCGCAGACCAACCGAGTGATGCACTCCCCGAGCCCGACGCGGTTGGACTTGAGGTCGGCAGGCTCTGCCTTCTTGAGCGACGACAGCAGCTTCGCAAGCAAGTTGTTCTTGTGGTGCAGTTTGCCATCTAGCGCATGTCTCAGCAGGGCCCCGGCGTCGCCCGCGCTGAGAGCTTTCTTTGTGCTGGGTGCGCGACAAGCACTGGCCGCCGCGAAGTACGCCTGCATGTGGTACAGCGGCGAGCCACCCTTGGTCCGCCCCAGCACCAGACCGGCGCTATAGCCCGAAGCGCGCTCGAGCATCTCTTCCTCCGCGATCTTCCCGGCCCGGCAGAGCTCCTCGATCGCGTTGATCGCGTGCTCGTGGGCCGGCAGCTTGGTCAGCGCCCGTGGCGCGGCGACCTGGGGCGGCGGCGCGGCGGGCGCTGGGACATTGCCCAGCCGTGCCACCAACACGTCCCCAGGCCGCCTTCCGTCACGTCTGGCCGGGCTCGGTTCCCGCCGGCCGATTGCCCCGGTCAGTCACCGCCTGCCTCTTCGTGGCCTCGTCGTTCAGGGGCAGCTTCCCTGTCTCCTCCTTGCCCCTGTCCATCTTGTGCTGCGCGCTGGCTGGGTCGCGCTTCTTCTTGCTCAGGAACTGGCCGAGTGGTGGTCCGCGCTTGGCGCCCCGGTTGCCCTGGCCAGTGGGAATGATGGTCATCGCGCCGTGGTCCAGCTCGTAGTTGGCCCCGGGCGCGCCCTTCTGGCAGTTGTCGCCAGCGGCCTGGTCGATGAACTAGCGCAGGCGACACGGGGCGCCAGCGCCTCCGCCGTCGTCGTGCACCCGTAGACGTACGTCAACGTGTTGTCGCACTTCCCCTCGCACGTGGGGCAGGGGCCCTCGCGCGGGAAGCCCAGCCATATAGCGTCGGCGATGCGCGGTGTCCCGGTCCACCCGCCAG